ACTACTACTACTACTACTACTACTACTACTACTACTACTACTACTACCACCATCACCATCACCACTACTACTACTATTGCTACTGCTACTGCTACTCCTACTCCACACACTCACGCATACATACACATATACTACACACAAACCAAATTGGACTACTTGCCATCAAAATACATTCCACTCTCCTGTTTGTGTGTCTTTACTCTCTCTTCCCTCTATTCCAGGAACTACCCTCCCCCTCCCTCCAGTCTTTACTTATTGAAATTCTGTTCCTCTTTTAAGGATATTCAAGCTTAAATTCCAGTTCCACCATGAAGCCCTCTTTCATATCCCCACCAGTACCCATTAATAATGATCCTTCATTCCTTGGAGTCAATCAATCAATATTAGGCACCTACTTTGTGCTAAGCACTACATCAAGTACTGGAGGCAAAAGAAAGACAAAAGATGGTCCCTGCTCTCAGTGAGCTCCCAGTCTAATGGGGGAAAACAACATGCAAACAATTCTGTACAAAAAGATACATACAAGATAAACTGGAGATAATCACCACAGGGAAGGCATTAGCATTAAAGGGGATCAGGAAAGTCTTCTCAGGGAATATGGGATTTTAGTTGGGTCTTAGCTGATTTCTGAATCAATCTTTATTTTTTGCTTTCCTTCTGCACTTATCATATATCAAGTTATATGATGGTTCTTTATATAGACACCATTCCTTCTAGTAGATTGTAAGCTTCATGAAGAAGGTCATAATTAAAATAAATTACATAAGACCGTATCTTAGTTGATCTTGGTTTCTCCTCCAGGTCCTGATGCAATCCTCTTCATATTAAGCATTTAACAAATATATATGGAAGTTTTTAGATAAGACTGGTACACAAATAATTAGAATGTATCTCAGAATATGATAAGCATATTGAAGAGATGTAAAACAAAACCCTATGAAAGAATCCAAGAATGAAGGGAAAACTTTCACCTAGGCCAGGGTCGGGGAACCTGCAGCCTCAAGGCCACATGTGGCCGTCTGGGTCCTCAAGTGCAGCCCTTTGACTGAACCCAAACTTCATCCCTGACTAGGGTCTTAATGGAGATGATAGCACCTAAATTGAGCCTTAAATAATAAGAGAATTTCAATAAACAGAGAGAAGGGGGGGGCAGTTTTAAGCATGCAGTATAGTTTAATCATTAAAATAGAAAAAGGCAGCAAGAGACAAAAATATGGTTATTTATCAGTTTGACTAATTCCCTAAATTTAGAGGACTGGAAGAGCAACTATTGAAGAAGATAGATAAGATTAAGAGAGGTAGGAAGAGAACCATTGTCAGAGATGGCTAGATGGCACAGTGGATAGGGTACTGGCCCTGGAGTGACGAAGTCCTGAGTTCATGAACCAGACTCAGACCCTTACTAGCTGTGTGACCCTGGGCAAATCACTTAGCCTCTGCTTGCCTAGGAGACAGGTAGGGGGTTCAGTGGATAAAGCACTGGGCCTGGAGTCAGGAAGCCCTGAGTTCAAAACCAGGCTCAGGCATTTACTGGTTGTGTGACCCTGGGCAAGTCATTTAGCCCCTGTTTACCTTAATCCACTAGAAAAGGACATGGCAAACCACTCCAGTATCCTTTCCAAGAAAACCTCAGATTGGGTCACACCACTACTGAAACGAATGGGTAACAACATGCTCTCCATCACAGAAGCTACGGAAGGAGAGGATTTCAAGAAGGAGGTCATCCAGCATATCAGATACTGAGGAGATGTCAAGGAGGATGAGGACAGAAAAAAGACCATTGACTTGAGTGATTAGGAGATCACTAGGGATCTTAGAGAAAGCAGTTAGAGTAGAATGGTGAAGATGGAAACCAGATTCAGCAAGGTAGCAGCCCAGCACTTTGCCCTGTACCTTGTACATAACAGGAGC